CCCCCCCCCCCCCCCCACACACACAACACCCAACACCCACTGCCATTGTGCTGTTTGCCTTTTGACTGAAATAATCTGATCTGAAGAAGAAGTGTTCACATCCTCCACTGCACTTTGATCCATACATATATATACATATATACACATATATACGGATCCGTGATCACTTGTGAACTGCGGATCAATCGAGTATTTTTTATTTATTTTTTACAGTTTAATCATCAGTGTGTAATAAAGTTGTACTGCTGCTGTTCCTTTTCAAGTAACAAGTCCCCGAATATCAATGCAGAGTGTCAGTGAACAGATATAAAGCAGTAGTGTGTTCACGTGAACGGAGCGGGTTAGAAGCATTTAACGGTGAAGTCATCGCAAGCGGAGGAACTTGAGAAGCCCTCGGCATCATTTAAGTCTCAGGTTTGGGAGCATTTTGTCTTCCCTGTAACTTATAATGACGGATGAGGGTGGTGGACAAACCGTTACGGTATGTTGGCGTTGTTTAAAGAGAGAGACACACGATAACGGCAATACATCGGCATGTCCACACATATGAAGAGACACCATGCCATCTGTCAGCGACGGGGGCCAAGGCACAACAATAACAACAACAACAAGGTATCATCGCAGCATTTAAAAAAGCGTTTGTGTAGAATCAGACCGGGCTGAAGCTATCACAGCATCTATTGAGGTCTTTATTGCTGCAGACATGAGGACATTCTCCCTTGTGGAAAACAAAGGATTTCAAAATGTGGTTAAAGTGCTTTCTTTCTTTCTTTTTTTTTGTGTTTTTCACTCTTTTGAAGCTAGCTGTCTGTTTCTTTCTTTTAACATTGATCAAAGGACGAGGGCATCAACATACCTCATGTTGCACTTAAACTTAACAGAATTGAGTATTCTTGAATGTTTTATTTTTATTTGCTATTTATTTCATTTTGTTTCAAATTGGACATCTTCAATATTTTTGTTTTTATGTAAGACTATAGCTCAAAGATCTTTGCTTTAAGTGTTCTTGAAGTTCTTTAATTAATAAATGGAAAGCAATGTTATATTTGACTCCTCCCCTTTTCTTTGCTGATCTGAACCGTGACTCAAGAACCGTTATCCGAACCGAAACGAATATATATATATATATATCTATATATATGTATAGGTATATATATGTATATATATATATATACATATAGATAAATTAATACTAGATGTCAACATGTCAGAAACACAACTACTGTCTGATCAACAGAGAACTACAGATGAAAATATAAACACTTTGAAAAATCAACTCAAGAAAAACCAGAAGAAGAAAAATCTGATTTCAGAAACAGGAATCATTCCACCTTAAATCTTCAGCGAATCATTCCACCTTAACTATTCAGTGTAATTCAGCAGGTTGCTGTTGAGAATGTGTGTGTGTGTGTGAGTGTGTCGGCGTTGTGATTGGTCGGTGGCTGACCTCCCAAACAAAAGCCATTCACGGTGCTGTTTGCCCACTGGGTCACATGACTCTGGCAGAGAGTGGCAGATGTCACCGGGGGCAACGCAGCCGTCTGAAAACACTGTCCACCATTTTGTACACACACACACACGAAACACCTTCAGCTCCTTAAAGTCCAGACTGT